GTCTTTTTGTTTTGTCTACGTTTTTATATCCCCCAAATTCAGTACACATCAGTACCATCTGGAGTAGACACCCTATAGATCCCTGCTACATGTTTGTAACTAATTAAACATCTTAAATAAAACCCACCAGTGCTGCTACTGCTGCTTCATCTACCGTAGGGCACCTTGCAGGAGTGGAGGGCCTCCCTCAGAAGGCAACCTCCCATCCTGCTGCTGCTGCGTCTGTGCACAATGTGCGGGAGCCACCAGGACGGCTGACCCCACTTAGATGTGGCAGGGATCTGCTGAGTTTTCCATCTTCCTCCATCAAGAACTTTCTGATCCATGAGTTACAGTTAAAATCTACTCTAAGCTCCTGATGTCTGTAAAGGTTTTCTTCTTCTTTGTGTTGTTTGGATAAACATACCCCTCTGTTTAACTTGCTACTCTCTTCTAGCATCAGAAAGAAACTGATGGGGACTGTGCTGGAAGTAGTTACAGACATCCTGTATTCAGTAGTTACAGACATCCTATTTTCCAGCACCTCTGTGCTATGCCAAGGACCTCACTGACTCTCTTCCCTCCACAGGTGTAACTTCAGGTGACCAGAACTTCCCATTCTTTATTGATAATGCAATTTCTAGATAGTCTCTCTCACTTGCTGTCAGTACATGTTTAGACATAGTCGGAACCTATGAGGGTAATTTAGTTTCGATTTAAGCTGTGATTTGCACTGCAGCCCCCTCCTCTAACAATTTCTCATGGAGTTTGTTTCTGGCTCAGAGGATCCAGAGAAAGATCGCACATGGCTGCATAGCTGCTAAGGGATTGTGTTTGGAAGCTTCCAACCCAATGTCTTATCCTGAGTTCGTCTCATACCACCAGGTGAAGTTGCCAAAATTATGCAGTCACGAAGCATGAAAACAGCAGAAATGAGACCAAGCCGTGTATGAATAAGACAGACAAGTATCCTTTATTGAGATTCCACCTCAGATTAGAAGAGAGTGCTGACCAGAGGTGACCAGACTACTCTTGAAAACAGAGGGAGTAGCAGGTGGCTATGGACTTGGGGGGCAGAGGCTAAAACTTGGTAGTTATCATGGGCCCAGTTTCAAAGTGTGGTGGTATTCTTGGGTACAAACATCTCTGCCTTGAATTTTGTAGGCTAATGGACAGTCAGCTCCATTTAGGAACTGCTGAGTTTACAGCTGCCATCATCATCTTGAATGAATTTCCTGGACCTGGGTTAGAGATGATGGGCTCTCAGTGCTTGAGTTGTTGAGAAAGCACAGGATGTATCAGAAGAAAACATACATCCATTTGAATGGGCAGTGGGCCCAGTCAACCTACATTTCAGTCTTGGACAGTACAGTTCTGAAATGACAAACATGTGAGCATGTGTACATGTGAGCATGTATACATGCAAGCCAAGCAGAGTATGACTGGAAGCTTTTGAGACAGCAGAGGGGACAGACACGAAAGACAGAGATGGCAAGCCTTCTTTCATGTAGGTGTGTGTATGTCTGCCTGTGGAGGCCAAAGGTCAATGCTGAGTGTCTTCCTCTATTGCCTTCCACCTATTTTTTAAGTCAGAGTCTCTAGCTGAACCTGGAGCTCACCCATTACGCTAAACTGGCAGGCCAGCGAAACTCAGCATTCTCCACCTCCCCAGCACTAAGATTACAGATGTGCACTGCTGTGCAGGAATTTTACACGAGTGCTGAGGATCCAACTCAGGTCCTTATGCTTGTACAGCAAGGAGTTTACCTACTGAACCATTTCCTCTGCTTGGCAAAAAAAAAAATCCCATTTTAGGGCTGAAGGGAAGGCTCAGTGCTTAAGGGCTCTTACTGCTCCTGCAGAGGACTAGAGTTTGGTTCTCAGAACCCACTTCTGGAGGCTCTCAACCACCTGTAACTCCAGTTCCAGGGGATCCAGTGCCCTCCTCTGATTTCCCTGGGAACCCACACATGTGTGTATACAGACACAGGCACATACACCGACAACACAATAAAAATAAGTAAAACACCATTTTAGTCATCTGTTAGATGATACCTATAGGCTCTAGTCAGAGTCAGTGTTTTTGTTTTGTTTTGTTTTTATTAGGGTTTCAAACAGCAGCAGCCTCCCCCTTCCCCAACAGGGACCCACAGACTGGATTTCTCAAGCCTGAAAAAGGGAACTGAGCTGATAAGCACCTTGGTCTTTGAAGTCAAGAGAAGCAGACTTTTCTCCACTGTTTGGCCAACACAGCAGGCTTCCCCTTTGATCTCTGAAGAGGACAGGTTTTAACAGTCCCACTCTCCCACTTCTCTCCACTTAACTTAAAAAAAAAAAAAAAATACATCTTCCCACCTTCTGCAGGAAGCAGAAGCCTCCCTTTTTAAAAAGGCCCCAGCTCAAGACCTGGGCAGACATTTTCCCTGCCCGGAAGGGAATCTGTCCCACGTGTTCCTTTGCTAATAAACTCTATTTTTATGGAGTTTTATCTGTGTCCTGGTGCTTCCTCCTGATCAACCCTATTCGTCATATGGCTACTTTTTTATCTATCAGTTTTGTTTTGTTTTTTTTTGATATACAAAATGACTTTTATTAAAGACTAAATTCCTTATTAACATCATTCTTTTATAGCTTTGATTTTTTTGACATTATAACATTTCCTGGATCCACAGTTTTGTTTTTTTTAAAGTGTCTTTAGAGTTTCTGCAAAGTAACCTATGCAACTGTTATAATCTATCCATCTTTCAGCAGAGTACCTGCCCTGACAGGCTCTGCCTGATGTTGAACCTGATTCTGGGGCTTAATAAATCTCATGGGGATGAGATTTTCTCTCAGTAATAGTTCCCCTGTGTCTTTCATATGTGTTGCCATTTTGAGCCCCACTGGTTGTCAGCTAGAGTTCATTATTTGAGGATCCTGCTTCATAAACACTTTGACCTTGTGGCCTAATCTGGTGTTTTATGATAAAGTTTTGTGAAAAGTCAGAGTACAAGGACAGCGACAGAAGAAAACGTATGTTTTGTGCTTATAACAGGTAACAGGGTTACAGGTTAACTTAATAGGTTAAAAGCCAGTAATGTACATTGATTTTGATAAATGTCACAAGCTATTTGAGCTCACTAAGAAGCTAGCTGGCTCTGGAAGTAGGGCTGGCTCCCCCACTTTAGACCCTAATATGCTTATGTCAAGTGTCCACCAAAACCCCCTGTCCTGGGACAGGCTGGCCCCCTAACTCTAACAGGGAGCTAAAGCTATAAAGCAACATTGTGTCCTTGGGAACAGCTAGAAGGTAAACAACTTCAGACAGTGGTTACTATTGCTTATCCCATGATTTAAACTGCCTGCAGTGGGAATGGGAAGTTAAACTGTGGATAAAAAGCTCAATAGGGGCTGGGTGTGGTGGTGCTCGCCTTTGATCTCAGTACTTGGGAGGCAGAGGCAGGCAAATCTCTGTGAGTTCAAGACCAGCCTGGTGTACATAGAGAGTTCCAGGCCTGTTGGGGCTACAGGGAGACGCTGTCTCAAAAAGACACCCCCCCCCGAAGAAAAGGAGCTCAATTGGGGAACTGCAGCTGGCCGCCTCAGTGGGGCTTCTCCAGTCCATTTCTGCTGGATGTTGGCTTTTGTCTGTGATCTCAATTGGGCAGCTCCAGGGCTGGATGTTGTGAGTACCTTGATCTGATGATGCTTTGCTGATACTTACATCTGCTACTTGCCATTTGTTCTTTTACTTGCTAAGTGCCTCATAAACCCACTCATTCAAAATCAAAAGCACGGCTACCCGTAGATCATTTTTGGACCATGCAGAAAAAAGCCAGGAGTTTACCTGTCTTTTGTTGCCTTGTCATGGGCTCTACTTGGTTCAGTCTGGCCCAGTGGAGCTGAGTTGATCAGCTGAGCACCACTTCCTTGTGCATTTTACAGTGGTAGAGTCACACACTGCCTTTCCTGGACCCCAGGTCAATACAGCCTTAAGATAATCCAGGGGCAGTAATGCTTGGAGTCTGGAGCCAGGCTGACTGACAAATCTTGCAACTGCCAAGCTTTCTGAAGGCTTGGCAAAATACTAACCTCAATATGCTTCTGTCAGAAGACGGTTCATGAGACCATCCAGAAAACTAAATGAGCTCATGAATGAAAACACAGACCTAAGGAAAGAAGGCAGATAAACACCAGAATAGCCTGTCTGTTCCACATCTATGTGGTATCTCACTCTGGTGGCATTCAGATCAGCTGCCTGAAATACCAGCTTATTACAGAAACCACAAACCCAAGACCGATTAGAAGGAAACCAAGATTGCACAGCCATTGCTGTACCTGGTAGGTGATTTTTACATCTAGACAGCTACATAAGAAAATTTCGGAACAGAGCCTGCAATATGGGTAGATGGGTAAAGCACTGTAGCACAAGCCTGATGATTTTCTGAGTTCTAGCCTGGAACCCACGTAAAGATGGATGGAGAGAACCAAGTCCTAAAAGTTGTCCTCTGACCTCCACACCTGTGCACTTGCATTCACACACATCATACACACACAATAACATTTAAAGCAAAGAAAATTCCAGAACTGCCATTAGCAGTGGGTATGGGCAGATAGGGAACTGATTTTCCTGTGTGTGTTTTCCTGTTCTTTTTCCGCTTTGTTTTGTGTCAAGATTTTATTGTATAGCTCCAACAAGTTACTCTGTAGCCCAGACTGGCCTCGAACTCACGGCAATCCTCCTGCCTCAGCCTCCCAAATGCTGGGATTACAGCCCGAGCCTTATGTTCTCCGCATCCCTCCAATCTCTTTTAAGTGTCACACATAGAGGCAGTTTACGTTCCTTACGCCACCGCAACTCACCAAGCGGATGTCATTCTAACAAAGCACACTCAGCAGGCGTTAATTGCAAGGGGAGGGCCGGGCTCAGCGAAGCTCTCGCGGGAGCCCGGAGGCCCCGCCCTTGGGCTCCGCCCCTGGGCCCTGAGCGGCCACGTCGGAGGCAGCGGCGGCAGGGGGCGTGGCCTGTCCGACACGCGTGCGTACCCCGCCCCTCCCGCGGAGCCCGGATGAGGAGTAACGCCATTACTGCCCGAGCCTCCGAGAGCCCTCGCGGACGCGCACTGGACCTGGGACCGGCCGCGCCATGAGACTCCTCCCCCGCCTGCTGCTGTTCCTGCTAGCGTTTCCCGCCGCTGTGCTGCTCCGCGGCGGCCCAGGAGGTGAGGGTGGCCGGGGACGGCGGGGTTCTCTTCAGCCCGGGACTCGGGGGGCGGCCACGGGGCGCGGGGATCTGCCGCGGGGCTTCTCGGTGCCTCGGGAGGCGCGGGAGGCCGGCGACCTTGGCCCTGCGGGACCCACGGCCCGGCCCGCTGTGGCCTCACCCGCCGGCGGCCCCCGCCCCGCGCCGGGCTCCGCGCTGACGTGTCGCTCGCCTCCCGCCGCCTTCATTCATTCTAGCCCGCCGCTTGCCGCAGCTTGGCCCGGAGCATCTCCGCGCTCCAGGCCTCGCTCCTCCGCACGCGAGCTGGGAGCCCGGAGGCTGGACCAGCCGAACTCCCTCCCGCTGCCCCGCAGCCTCCACCGAGATTCCCCGCGCGATGGCTCTCAGTGCCAGCCTTCCCTTCTGATCCACCCCACCCCCTCTTTTTGCAAACCGTGCTTGCTGGTTGAAGACGCGCTGAAAAGGAAATAGTGTACTTTGAGCTGGACGGCTCTTCATATAGGTTTATTCATTCCAGTGGTTAAGTTGGGGTGAAAACTTAGCAGAGTGTAAAACTGGAAATTTTTTGCCTTGGTGTCTTGAACTTCGATTTTCTAACTTAGTCTGAGTGGTCGCCAGCATGCCTTTCCTTTCTGTAAGTTTTAGCGGCTTGTGGCATACGAAATGATAGCGATCCGTGTCCACGAGCAGTTTGGCAAAGAAAACGGAAGTGACTGGGTTCTATTTTCCTTAAGTTACTGTCAAGAAGTTTCTTTTGGCGGGGGCTGGGTGGCGAGGATGGGAGGATGTTGAGGCAAGGGTCTCTGTGTGGCCCACGCTGGCTTTGAAGTCTCTGTCGCTTAGCTTGATCTTGAACTTGGGATCCTTGTGCCCCTACCTCCCGACTGCTGGGTTCCAGGTGTCCTCCACCACATCCACCGAATGCCATAGTGGGATTGAACCCAGGGCTTCCTGCATGGCCAGGCGAGCACCCTACCCACCCGACTACATCCCCAGCCCTCAGGGATTTTCTTTCTTAAACTGGCTTTGGAAAATGACTTGTAAACTATGAATGAACCATTTAGGTCCTGCTCCTTAGGCAGTAAAAACTCAAGGAAATGAAGACTCAAAATGTGTGATCCTAATGACAGGCTCTCTCCCTCTGGTATTGCACGTGCGGCTCTTCCCACATTTTCTTCCTCTGCTGAATTGCCACATCATCACTCTTTGTGAGAAGAATTGCTAGTACTTTGTAAAGCTTTTGAGGGATTTTCGTGAAATAAACTTAATGTGGTGTGTTGCTATAGTTTTGCCTATAAAACTGTGATTTGTGATTTGGCATTATGGTCATACTGTCAATATGAAATTTCAGGTATTGATTTGTTTTCATTTTTAAAAATTGCATTTATGTGCGTGTGAATGTATGTGCCACAGCACACATGCAGAGGACAACTTTCAAGAGGCCTTAGTCCTTACCCGCTGAGCCATTTGGTGGACCCTGTTTTGTGTTTTTTAATATTAAAAACATTTTTTGTTAAAATTAACATGCAGTAGTTAAGACTACTAGTAAAATTATTCTATAAATGTTCATAAGCACTGGCACTGTTCAAATGACTAGGGAGATTGAGTTACCACAGGGCAACATTTTCTTACCTAAACCTGATATTTAAAAACACTGGCGTTCAGGTAAAGGTTAACTGCTTATTCTGTGTTTTATCGTTAGGGTCATTAGCAGTGGCTCAAGATCTTACAGAGGATGAAGAAACAGTGGAAGATTCGATAATAGAAGATGAAGATGATGAAGCTGAGGTAGAAGAAGATGAACCTACAGATTTGGTTAGTGCTGCACACTCTTTAATGTACCTAGAGTGTAGATGATACATTATTATTTTTTTTTTTTTGAGAGAAGGTCTCATGTAGCCCAGGCTGTCCTCGAGCTTCTAGTCCTCCTGCCTCCATCTCTGGAGCACTGAGATTGCAAGCATGTGCTACCATACCAGGTTTTATGCCGTGCTGGGGATTGAACCTAGGGCTTTGTGTATGCTGGATGAATACTCAATCAATTGAGCTAGATCCTCAGCCCAAGAATGTGTTCTTTTTATAGGCAAATTTGGTGATTTCTGATTTTTATTGTGATCAAAGCAAGTTGAAGTTGAACTAGGGGGCAAGTCATTGGGAATGACCATAGAGATTTTCTGGAGGAGAGAAGGAGACAAGATGCACTGGAAAGTTCATGATCATGCTTGTGAGAATGTAGGAGGGTAACAGTGTGGTGGGGCTAGCGCTGGACCATAAAGTGAAAATTCAGAGTCTCTGGTGCTTGACTTTTTGGGTCTCAGTTTCCTTTTTTGTGTTTGTTGCTTTTATTCAATACACAGCCATTGAAGCTCATTCAGGGTACCTCTGCCATGTGGCAAGGTGCTGGACTGAGCAGATGAGATATTTTCTCTGCTTTCTTAAAGTCCGTATTTTCGGGGCCAGTGTCAGTATGTTTGGAGGCAGAGGCTGAAGAGTAGATAACAATATATGTCTTGTGAAGAGTAAGGGGCTCTAACCTAAGAAGTTACACAGCTCTGACCGTGTTACTGTGTGATTATAGTATGACAGAATATCCTGCTCAAGTGAGGGTCATTATAACATACTTTTGGCTAATCTGTTTCCTGCCCAGAAATACTATAATCTGTCCTTCGCAGGATTTTGTTTGTTTCTGTTTTCATGCTGTACTTAAGCCGAGAACCTTTCATGAATGTAGACTTTACCATTTCCTTCAAGATTAAACCCTCAATTCTCTTATTTTTCTTCATTTTAGATTCCAAATAATTAGACTTATATATGTATATAAGTCCTTTTTAAAATTTGTCTTTATAAATATGCCTTCCACTTTAATTGCTTGCTCTTTTGTTGATGTTTTTATTTTGCTACATAGTCATGTATTGTTTCATCTAAGTAGAATTTGCCTAATTTTTACACCTTATCTAACTCCCCCATCTTTAAGAAACCTTTATTGATAACCTGTGTCAGGCTTTACGCTTTAGGCTCTACATCCTTCAACCCATTTCATTAGATGAACAGCTTTAAGTAGATCAATGCATTCTTACTTCATTTTTGTAAACATTTTACTGTTCTAAAGTAGCACTTGTGGTAAGATAACTTATAGTGACTATTGGAATACAATTTAGGATTAAGGATAATATTCAGGACATGGAAATTTGGACATTTAGTAATGGGTGAAGTTAGAACTTTTCTCGAGTCAGAAAAATGGTCAGGATAGATTGAAACAGGAAGCAGAGGGAGCATCCTTCCTTGTGTGTAGGCTACTGAACACAGATGGGCTCTTAGAATCACAGCTGCTGCAGTAGGCACCTGTGAAACTGAGGGAGCTGGATTTTGGCTGCCCCCCACCCCCCCAATTTCTGTACTAATAACTTACACTTAGCCGTCAAGGCATCAGAGAATTAGGAGATATGGCAGGATCCTTCACCCCTAGGATGGTTCTGGAGTAGAGCAAAGGAAAGGGCCTTTAAGTCCTGGGTGCTTCTTCCCATTGTTTAATAACTCTTTTCTGTAAAACTGGGGCTTGCAATATACTTTGCCCTCATTCCTTGAAAGTATTTTTTAAAATATATAAGCTTGTAATAACTTTAAACACTAGCTAACTTAAAAAGTTATTATTTAAAATAGGTATTGTAGCTAAGAGTCCTTCATGCCTGTCCACCAGCTTGTCTTTCCACAGGCAGCCTGTGCCACCTATTTCTCTCTGTTCCTGAAGGCAGTCTGTGATAGCTGAAGCTGTTGGGTGTTTCACCAGGTAGTAAGCACTAGTTTTATATTCCTTTATAATATGCTGGTGAATTACAGGGCAAGCCAGTTATTTACCTTTACACTCATGTATGTTATGCGTCTGCAGCAGCTCTTCAAACAGTTCTTGCTTCTCCATTATCTTTGGCAGCAATATTGTTTTGATGGCAGAAAGTGAGGGCCTTCGAGAGAGAACTCTTACCAGATTTCTACTTGTAGGCATTTAATGATGAAGGGTGCTTGCTCTAAGGAGCTCTGCTGCCTTGCTCTTACTCCCCCATCTTATCCTGTGGGGTCTTAGCAGATTGTTCTTTTTTTCTTAATATTTATTATTTTATGTGTGTGAGTGGATTGCATACATGTATGTGATGCAGTGCCGCGGAGGTCAGAAGAGAGCTTCAGATTCCCCTGGAACTGGAGTTAAGGACAGTTCGTAGCTGCCATGTGGGTGCTGGGAATGGAACCCGGGTCCTCTGCAAGAGCAGTCCGTGCTCTTAGCCACTGAGCCATCTTTCCAGCCCTGGTGTTCTCTGTTTTTATTTGCAGCGTTGGTCTCAAGCCTGCAGACCTACTGTTACAGCCCACCTTCAGTTGCTATGCTCCTTCTTTACTTTACCAGTACCAGTTACTTTCTGAAAGAGTAATGTGTCCGGGTTTTCTCCTATGTTCATGGTACATTCATTCTCCAGGGTCTGGCCCTATATATGTAGTTTAGGCTAAGTCACCAACAGCCTGATTGCCAAATTCCTTGCTTACATAGTTGGAGCCCTTTTAGCATTCGCAGATTGTACCTTGAATCCCATGGTGGTGGCTTTTGTGACACCCCTTTCTGTTTCCTGCCTAGTTGCTGCTGCTGCCTGGGACTTCCTCTCTGCTCTCTTCTGTTCTGCTTTCCACTGATGTTGGTGAAACCTGTGAATTTAACCACTACAAAACCTTATGTTGATGACTTTGAGATCACTTTTCTAACCCCTTGCCTTACTGAGCACTACACTTAAACTTGTCTTTGTAGGCAGCACCACCAGTAGTTTCCCGTGTTCACAGCAGAGTCCAGCACTTAACACATCCTACTGCCATAAATGATTTCCTGTTTTGATATGGGTCCAGTGGATTAAATTGCTGCCTCTTTTCTGCTTGTTCTGAACTCCATAAATGAAATCTTAGTTGTGATTTCTCTTTGTTCTTCTCAAGTGTACCTTTTCTACTTTATTCTTACAGCAAGGTTCTAGCATGTCTCTGACATGTTTTCCTACTTGTATCATGTTTTGGAGATAGATGTTCACAATATTGCCTAGACTGGCCTCAAATTACTAGGCTTAGGCAATCCTCCTGCCTCAGCCTCCAAAGGGCATACCCTACGTGTGAGTTCTTCAGATTTGGAGGGGTTTCTGCGTCTGTTTCTCCCCCCAGCATTTTAAGTTATAACCGATTCTCACAAGGAAATTGTTCTGTTAATTGGAATGGAAATCTTTCTAGGCTGCTAATAAAGTGCTTGAATTGAATGGCTGGGCAGATATGGCAACTGGCCAGATCCAGCTGTGCCTGTTCATTTAACGTCTGGTTGCATTCCCACAGCAGCACAGAGGTGAGTGGTGGCACAGAAGGGACCAGTCCCTGGCCTAGGGACCTCACAGTTCAAAGTGTAATTGATAGACTAGCAGTGGTGGCATTTCCTGAATGCTTATGAGAAACACAGAATTTCAGACTTTACTAGATTCCCACTGGCCTGGTGTGCACATCCATACACGTTGTCCTAAAAGTTCTGTTTAACTGATGAGCTGCAGTGAATTCATACCATCAGTACAAATAAAATAGCATATTATCCCAAATCTAGTGAAGTCTATACCTCAGTGATTTTCCCCCCTACCATCTCATATTACTCCCTTTTTAATGTTCTCTTTAGGCAGAAGATAAAGAGGAAGAGGATGTATCTGGTGAACCTGAGGCTTCACCGAGTGCCGACACAACTATCCTGTTTGTAAAAGGAGAAGGTAATGCAGACTTGTTCCCTTTAGTTCAGTCATAGAAATTTTAAAATATCAGACCTGCTTTTGGGGGGAAGCCTTTGCAGTACCTGAGATCTTTATGTAACAAGCATTATGCTAGCAACTAATTTGAAAAAAATCTTATGCATGTGAATACTAGTATGTGTAGTATTGATATATGTTTTTTTAATATTTTATTATTTTTATATTATGTATATGCATGTATTGCCTGTATGTATGTAAGTGCACCCGTGTATTCAGTGCCCATGGAGGCTAGAAGAGGATGTTGGATTCCCTGGAACTGGAGTCACAGATGTTTGTTAGCCACCATGTGGGTGCTGGCATTCAAACCTGGATCTTCTGTAAGAACAGCCAGTGCTCTTAACCACTGAGCCCTCTCTCTATCCCCTCTATTGTTGATATTTAAAGGGAAAAATAAATGCTATTTGGTTTACTAGAAATTGAATGTCCTCAAAGATACCTTTTTAAAAATTGTGTGCATGCACAGAGGTACCACGGTGCACACAGAAGTTTGAGATCAGCTTGACAGGAGTTGGTTTTCTCTTTCCAGTGTGGGTTTGGTAGATTGAACTTGGGTCATCAGGCTTACGTGTGTGGCTTACATGCTGAGCCATCTTGCGCCCAAAATGCCATTTTAATATTTTTTTTGGTGGGGGGGGTTGGGGTTTTTTTGTTTTTTGTTTTTTGGTTTTTTTTTTTTTTGTCTTCTTGAGACAGGGTCTCCCTGTAGCCCCAGCTATCCTAGAACTTATTATGTAGACCAGGCTGGGCTTGAGCTCACTGCCTGCCTCTGCCTCCCAAGTGCTGGAACTACAGGCGTGCACCACCATGCCCAGCTAATGTTTTTTATCAAACTATCAGTAAAAGAATTTTGTTTTGGGCCAGCTCCAGCTTGACACCCTGAGTTCAGTCCCTGGAATCCATGTAAAAAGGTAAGAAACCAGGGCTGGAGAGATAGCTCAGCAGTTAAGTGCACTGGCAGCTTTTGCAGAGGACTGGGGTTTGGTTCTCAGCACCCACATGTTGGCAAAAAACCTCCATTCCCAGGGGTTTTAGCCTTTGCTGGCCTCATGGGTACTACACACAAAAGCAGACACACTTAAACACATGCAGACAAAACATTCAGGCATGTAAAAAATAAAAATAAACCAAAAACTTTTTTAAGTTTTCTTCTTGTGGCATGGTGGCCCACACCTTTAATCTCAGCACTCAGGAGGCAGAGGCAGACAGATAGAGAGAGTTGAAAGCCAACCTGGTCTACATAGTAAGTTCCAGGCTAGCTGGGGCTACAGGGAGACCCTGTCTCAAAAAAAGACCAAAAAAATAAAATAAAAATCAGTGAAGGGACTGGAAAGATGGCTTAATGGTTAAGAACACTGACTGTTCTTGCAGAGTACCTGGGCTTGGTTCCCACCTCCCACATGGTTGATCACAACCTTCTATAACTCCAGTTCCAGGGGATCCAATGCTATCTTTTAGCCTCCATGTGTGTTGTATGCAAGTGATACACCTACATACATGTAGGCAAAACACTCATACATATAAAAAAATTAATTAAATATTAGTGACATAGTAAGTCTTTACAGTTAGGCCGAACTTAACAGCATAGGATTAAAGAAAATTGAGGTTGAGTATCTCTTACCCAAATTGCTTGGGACTCGAAGTGTTTTAGATTTTGGATTTTTTTGAGTTATGGAACATTTGCATATACATAATTTTCTACAGAATGGAATTTGTTTATGCTTCATACATACCTATGTATGTCTATGTAGCCTAAAGAATACAGTATTTCTAGGGTGCCTGTGTTCTGATGGCAACCTATTACTTGAGACCAGGTGTGGAATTTTCTACTTCTAGCATCTTGTTGGCGCCCAGAAAGTTTCAGATTTTGGAGCATTTCCAGTTTTGCAGTTGTGGGCCAGGCATGGTTATACATGCCTTTAATCCCAGCACTCAGGAGGCAGTGGCAGGCAGATCTCTAAGATTGAGGCCAGCCTGGTCTGCATAGTGAGTTCCAGGCCAGCTGGGGCTGTAGGAAGACCCTATCTCAAAAAACTAACAATTTTCTAATTGGGGCTGCTCAACCTCTTAAGTACAACAGCTTGTATTTTTTGAGGGCTCTGGGAAATGGCACTATTCTTAATACTTTGTGGTGGTTATTTAATCCCAGAAAACCGTGAGCATACTTATTGTTGAACTGGAGTTAATAGGAATTAAGAAACTTGCTCCATTGTATCCAGTTCATAGAATAGATTGCAGAGACAGGATTCAAACCCAGATATATCTGATTATATAACCTGTGTTGTACTGGGTGAAACTCAGCCTAATGGATTGCAGTATAGTTATGGAAGACATAACATTAGAAACTATTAATTTTCTTTTTCATAAGTGTTCTCTTTTATTCCCATGTTAACTTAATACCTCCAAACAGTGTAATTTGGGGGCTGGAGAGGTGGCTCAGCAGTTACGAGTACTGACTGCTCTTCCAGAGGATATGGGTTGCATTCTCAGCACCCACATGGCATCTGGTAACTGTTCTAACTCCAGTTCCAGGGAAATCTGACACCCTCTTCTGACCACCACAGACATTGCTTAACATGGATGCACTTAAATACATACAGGCAATAATACACTCATACACCAAAAAAAAAATACAAATAATAAAATATTTTTTTAAGGTCTGGAGAGATGGCTCAGCAGTTAAGAGCACTGATTGCCCTTGCAAAGTTCCTGGGTTTGATGCCCAGTACCCACATGATGGCTAACAACCATCCATAACTCCAGTTCCAGGGGAATCTGATGCCCTCTTCTGACCTCCAAGGCACTGCATGACACAATGTACTCACATACATGCAGGCAATACACTCATACTCGTAAAATACAAATAATAAAATATTTAAAAACAATTTTTTTAAGTATAATTTGATTGCTGGGGCTGTATACTCAGTAGTCTAGAACCTGTCTAGAATTTGCAAAGCCTTGGGTTCCATTCTCAGCACTGTAAAAGAAAAAAAAAAGAAATTTGAGTAAGTGGTTGTCTTTTTCCCCATTTATTTTTATCTGCATGGGAAGCATACTGAGTTGTATAATCCTCTGCATGTTAATCTTTCTGCCACAAATATACAGCTTAGACCACATAATTTGGATGTGATTTGACTAAAATTGGGATGTTCATATCATCCCTTAAGTTGTAACCTTAGAGAACAGACAGGAGTCTGAATGTATACCCCCAGCTCTGATTAGTCAGAACTTGTATACAATCACACTAGAGTGCTCTGGTGAAGTGAGTTCTGAAACCAAGGCACGTGTGGTAGGAAAATGCCAGAATCCTTTGGTAGTGTCTGCTTTATTTTGAACTCTAAATGTATTCTGATTATCTTCTCCCTATTTTGTGTCTCAGATTTTCCAGCAAATAACATTGTGAAGTTCCTGGTAGGCTTTACAAACAAGGGCACTGAAGATTTTATTGTTGAATCGCTAGATGCTTCATTCCGTTATCCTCAGGACTACCAGTTCTACATCCAGAATTTCACAGCTCTTCCTCTCAACACTATAGTACCACCCCAGAGACAGGCAACTTTTGAGTACTCCTTCATTCCTGCAGAGCCCATGGGGGGACGACCGTTTGGTCTGGTCATCAATCTGAACTACAAAGATTTGAACGTAAGACCTTTTGAGATTTGTTTTATTTTTACGTTAGAGACTGCTGGGGACAGTGACCATTGTTTAATGTTTCTGTCTAAGTGCTTACTTTGTGGTTGAAACGATAATAAGGAACAAGGATGCAAAAAGAATTGCACATCTATCTTAACGTTCATATCTAGTGAGGGAGACGGCCAAAATACATAGTGGTAAGGTGGTACATACTAGAGCTGTGTTGCTAGGTGCTGTTGTGTGCCTGGGAAAGTGGCTTGTACTGGATCTTGGCTCTTGAAAGGAGCAGTAAGCACCTTTTGCTGATTCTAATGCTTTTAATGTTTCTAAAGATTTTGTTACTTTTTGGGGGCGGGGCGGTCTTTTTGTCTTTTTTGAGACAGGATCTCTCTGAAGCCCCACCTGGCCTGGAACTCACTATGTAGACCAGGTTGTTCTTGAACTCACTATGTGACCAGAGATCTGCCTGCCTTTGCCTCCTGAGTGCTGGGATTAAAGGCATTCACTACCACGCCCAGCTGTATTCTATCTTTTTGTGCACAGATAGGGTAAAATACAGCCAATTTTTTAATTAATTCCATTGGCATATGTGTAGTTTTGAGTTTCAAAGTTCTGCCTTTTGGAAGCATCAAGTATTGAGAACATCTATGCATGTCCAGTGATTCCAGAGTATGGGGAAAGTGAAGTTTTGTTGAACTGACAAGATTATTATTATTTTTTCTTTTTATTAAAAATAATTTATTGAGAATTTCATACATGCATATAAGGTGTTTTGATCAAATCCATGCCCACTCCCTCCCCTCCAACTCCTCCCATATCTCCCCATCACTTTTTTCTGATAACTTCATGTACTCTTATTTTTTGATGGTGCTTTTGGCTACTCTAACATTCCCCCTTTTAAAGAGGTAATCCTAAAATCTTTTAAGGATTAGATAAAAATTACCAAATACTTTTGACATTTTTGACCTTTGGAACGGAGTGGGTTGCTAAGAGGCCCAAGGACATTGTGAGTTTTAGCCAAGAAGCTGGCTACTTTTCTTTGGGGTGTTTTTACCCTAACTGCCTAGCCAATTCCTACCTCCTATTTTTATCACACCATCCTCTGAATAGGTTACCCAAATTGCCAATAGGGAATCAGGACGTAGACTGCTGGCTTCTTCCATGCTGAATAGGGACGTAGGGTGAGGCAATTGGAGTACCCCTTCAGTGGGTCTATCTAAAAGACTCCTGTTCTGGTTCTGGTTTGTTTCTTCATTGCTGTGACAAAATATTCTGACCACTACCAACTTGGGGAGGAAAGGCTTTATGTAGCTTACATATCCCAGGTCACAGTTCATCCAGGAACCCAACGTGGGAACTCAGGGCAGGAACCTGGAGGCAGGAGTTGGAGCACAGGCCATGGAAGAATGCTGCTTACTGGCTTGCTTCCCTGGCCCCTGCTCAGCCTGCTTTCTTATGCAACATAGGCCCACCTGCTGAGGGGTGGCACCACCACACAGTGGGCTGGGCCCTCCCACATCACTCATCAAGAAGATGCCCCTCAGACATGGCCACAGGCCAGTCCAATAGAGGTAATTCCCCAATTGAGGCTCCCTCAACCCAGGTGTGTCAAGTTGACACTAAAGCTATCCAGCACAACTCCCAAATTGCATAACTCTTGTCTGTAGGGGGAAAAGAAAGTCTTTAACTGGTAAATAGGAGATGTGAAGGAAAAGTAAAGGCAAGAGTAATTAGCATTACAAGTCCTAGACAGGGAACTGGAAAAAAGTCAGAACAGAGCAATCAAGATTATTTTTAAGACCATAATGGAAGAGTATTTTACTGCAAATTACCAGCCTGCTTATTAGGAAGAAATTGGTTTTTACTCCATTTTGAGTCTACAGCATGAATCTGGCTTGCTCAGGTCTGCTTCTTAAAGTGACCTGCCCTGCAGCCACTGTGGTTCACTTGCATTCTTTCTTTGGAGGATTATAGGTAGTGGAAGCTAGAGCTGCTGGTGCTGCAGAGTTCTGGGCTCTGCTTCTTCCTGCAGATTTTATATCATTTTCCTCCTCGTTTTCCTGGTTCCTTAAACCACCACCTCCCTGCTCCCTGCAGAAAATGAAAGATGACTTTGATGAACTCCAAGATCTTTGTTTTATAAAAAGAATTAACATATGGTTGAGTGTCTGGGATTGAAGTAGCGCAATTGCAGGTGTTTCTTATGACCTAAGTGATAGAGAAATTATATGAAGTCTGCTAGAATAACAATTTTAAGAAAACATTAAGTTTTCATTCTTACAGTATGTTTCACATCAGATTTTTAACATCTGTTTCTTACACAGGGCAATGTATTCCAAGATGCTGTCTTCAATCAAACAGTTACAGTTATTGAAAGAGAGGATGGGTTAGATGGAGAAACGTAAGTAAAACTGCAGTTTATAGATTTGAGTCTCATAACATCAAACTGGAAGGTGTGCGCTAATTGCAAACATTTGTGTAATGCTCAAAATGGAATGGACCTCTAGATTTGGTGAAATCCTTATCACGTAGGCCCATGTTTCAGGCAGTTCTTGTACTTACTAATACTGAGCCGGGAAAGATGGTTGGCGCTAACAGAACTGCAGAGGTACTAGTTGCCTTTCCGTCCTAAATTCTTTGCTACTCCGAGCTTTCTCCAGCCTGAACATAGTTGCATGCCTCAGAAATAATTGCATAAATAGAAGACTTTTATTTTGAAAAAAAAAAAAAATTGCCCGAGGAGTTATCCTACTGTGACTTGAAGAAATTTAATAAATCCAAGTTATTCAAAACAGTGTGGGTCTGGAGAGATGGCTCAGCGGTTAAGAGCACTGACTGCTTTTGCAGAGGACCCGGGTTCGATTCCCAGCACCCACATGGCTATGAACCATTCTGGACTCCAGTTCCAGGGGAATCCGAGGCCCTCTTCTGACCTCCGCAGCACGACACAGGTGCACTCATATACATGCAAGCAATACACTTATACGCATAAAATAATAAATATTTTTAAAGACAATGTGAAATTTGTAGCAGAAGAAACAAAAATATTTTAAACTGAGTTTTTAATAAAACACATAAAAATAATTGAATTCGAGCCGGGCGTGGTGGTGCACGCCTTTAATCCCAGCACTTGGGAGGCAGAGGTGGGTGGAAATTTTGTTTTTAATTAGCTGTGATATTTATGAGTTAATGACAGTATATTTAATCTTCTTATGGCAGAATTTTTATGTATATGTTCCTTGCTGGTCTTGGACTTCTCGTTGTTGTTGGTCTTCATCAGCTCCTAGAATCTAGAAAGGTAATTATGCATGAGCAACTCAAGCCACACTTGTTTCAGTCCTAATTACACCATAGCTCTCGGAACTTCTCTCTCACTATGGGTTTGTAGGCTTACAGCTTTGTCCCTTTTCAAAACAATACCCAAAGTGGACTGTGGAGATGTGTTAAGAGTGTCCACTGCTCTTGTGAAGGACCTGAGTTCAGTTCCCAGCACCCACATCAGGTGGCTCACAACTGCCTGTAGCTCCAGCTCCAGAGGATCCAATTCCTCTGACTTCCAAAGGCATATGTGTGCATGCACACACACACATGTACATGTACACACAATTCTTTTTTGATCTTAGCAGAGGTGAGATCTCTAATATGTAGCTTCAATTCATTGAGATGTGTGCACACCTATCCAGTTAGTGTGTTACCCTCTCTAAAGGGATCCTTACTGTCTTATGATCCTCAAGTGCAGAAATGATGTCACCATTTACTGTAACTTCTCATGAAAGTATAGCACGTTATATTATCTATAAGCAGCCAATTTATTTAATTTGGGTTGGTTTTTTTTTTGGCGGGGGGCGGTCTTTATGAGACAGCTGTAGTCCCAGCTGGCCTGGTACTGAATATAGACCAGACTGACCTTGAACTCCCAAATCACAGAGATCTACCTACCTCTGCCTTCTGAGTGCTGGGACTACAGGGGGCATGTATCACCACACCTAGCTGGGTCTGGGTCAGTATTCTGAGCTTGAGAATTCCTTTAAAAAATTTTGTCTAAGCTGGGCGTGGTGGCGCACACCTTTAGTTCCAGCACTCGGGAGGCAGAGGCAGGTGGATCTCTGTGAGTTCAAGGCCAGCCTGGTCTACATAGTGAGTTCCAGGACAGCTGGAGCTACAGGGAGACCCTGTCTCAAAAAGACACCCCCCCCAAAAAAAAAAATTTGTATTTTTTATTTTTTATGTGTATGAGTTTGCCTGCATGTATGTAAGTGCATCCATTTCATGTAATGCTCTTGGAGGCCAGAAGAGGGCATTGTATCCCACAGACTGAAATTGCAGGCCATTGTGAGCCACTGTGTATGTGGGTGCTGGTAACCGAATCTGGGTCCACTGCAAGAGCAGCCAGTGCTCTTAACCTCTGAGCCAGCTCTCCAGCCCCTACAGGGATAATTCTTAACGAGCTAATTTGTACTGTTTGAAAAAAACAGTTTGGCTATGTTCATCTTGATAGTCTGTTCTTGTGTCTTGGGTCCTAAAGAGGCCCACCGGAATACCTGCCTTGGTACTGGTGACCAGGTGCTGGGCTTTCCCACCCACTTCTGGGCTTTCCTCACTGCTTTGTTTTCTACCACACTCCACAGAAAGAAACATACTGTTCTCCTCAGTGGGAGAGTATTAAGCCATTTTTGTCAGATACAGTAGACCCTAAACAGTTGCTGACCAAGTGGGTGTTTATAATTACGTTTGTATCGTTTTTAAAGTTGTTTGGCGTTTTGCCTTAAATTTGCAAATGAGTTATTATAGCTTCCCATTTTCTATTTCCATTTAAATGGTCATTTTTTATTCATTATATTCAGAATCGAGTACGTGGACTATATAAGACTGTTTAATACAGAGCTTTTGCTACCCTAACATACACATACACCACCCCATACTAGGGATTTTACCCAGGACTTTGTGCCTGCTGGCAAGCACTTTATCACTGAGCTGTGTCCTCAGCCCTTGGTTTTGGGGGAGTTTTGTTTATTTTGGTTTCTTAGGGGTTCTTTTAGCACTTTTTGTTGCTGTTGTTGTTTTTTGTTTTTTGAGAATGGGGTCTTGCTATGTAGCTCTGTCTGACCTCAGACTCGCCTGATCTTGCCTCCTTCCTGATGCTAGGATTACAAACTTGCACCAACCGCCCCACAGATTTTTTTTTTAATTTCAGAGTAAGATTAAAGAAAATGGAATTAAATAAATTTTATATTCTAGTGGTTTTTGCAGATATGCCAGGGAAACAGTTTTAGGTTCCTCCCTCTTTCTTTTCTGTTAGTTTTTTGGTGTTTGGTGGTTTGGTTTGGTTTTTGAGACAGGGTCCTGTGTAGCCTAGGTTGGCCTCAAATTTGATGGGCTGCTATGACGTCTTTAAAATAGTTTTTGGGGCTGGAGAGATGGCTCAGTGGTTAAGAACACTGGATGTTCTTAGAGAGGACCTGGGTTCAATTCCCAGCACCCACAATCATCTGTAACTCCAGTTCCAGGGGATCCAACACCCTCTTCTGACCTCTGTGGGCACTGTATGACATGGGTGCACTTACGTATATACAGGCAATACACTCACACATAAAATAAAAATAATAAATATATTTTAAAAAATAATAGATAAGGGGCTGGAGAGATGGCTCAGCATTTAAGAACATTGGTGGTTCTTGCAGAAAACCCGGGTTCGAATCCCAGCACCCACATGGCAGCTAACAACTGTCTGTAACTCCAGTCCCAAGGGATCCAGCAGCCTCTTCTGACTTCTGTGGGCATTGCACGACACGCATGCACTTACCTACGTGCAGGCAATACATGCATACACATAAAATAAAAAAATAAGTAAATAAACAATATGTCTTTTATGTTCTCATAGCGCAAGAGACCCATCCAGAAAGTAGAAATGGGTACATCAAGTCAAAATGATGTTGACATGAGTTGGATTCCCCAGGAAACTTTGAATCAGATCAGTAAGTTGCCTTACAAAGTGGGTGAGAAGTTTTTCTTGAAATGAAAATTAAATGCCTAATATTTACAAAAAAAATGCTCAGTTAGTACTGCTTAACATTGGTCTTTGCATTACCTGTATAGACTTCAGTATAATGATTAATGGAGCCCTTAAAGACTTGATGTTTATAGTGATTTTTAATGCTTTAATTTAGAAGTGCTTCCGAACCTGAGGCTTGTTTATATGAGTGAGTTCTCTTTCTAATCTGTTTCCTGTCTTTTTTCTTTCCTGTTGCTTCAGTGCAGAGTAGAAGAGGTGAGGTGATTAGTTTCTTTAATGCTATTTGCTGCAGTTTGGGAGCCTTTTACATAGTGCATGAATTCTTCAGCAAGTTTAATAAGTAATGGAATTATATATATATATTTGAAAGGAATAAGTCTAAATACTAACACATAGTATTGTTTTATTACAATAGGTAGTTTGTTAAAAATACAACTTTTATGAGGAAATGCAGAAATCTCTTCCTCTGCTTTGTGAAGGACTGTTTCTTTCCTTCTTGTTTTTTTTTTTTTTTTTTTTTTTTTTTTTTTTTTTGGTTTTTGTGTTTTTGGGATTGGGTCTCCTGGCCTGGAACTTGCTTTGTAGACCAGGATGGCCTCAAACTCACAGAGATTCCTGTTTGTACCTCCCAAGTGCTGGAATCAAAAGTGTGCACCACCACGCCCAGACTTTGTGAAAGACTTTTAGAAGAAGCATTTCTTATAAAATTATGGTAAGATAGCCTCAGTGTGAAAAATTAAGTGGTACAGAAATAAAAGTTTCTGTCCCTGGCTTTGCTGCTCTCATTTTCCATACATAAGTGATTATTTCCTACACACTTCCTTCTCTGATATTCAGCCTACGTGGTAATCACTATCCACATATGGTTCTACAGCTTCACTTTTATGCTTAGGACTGTGCTTTCTTTTCCGAATCACACTGTGAGAAACTGTGAAGCAGTTTCATTAACTAATCAGGGTTTTCCAGAATATTTTCTTTCAGGTGAGAGTGCTTTGACTTCCCAGAAGTTCTTTTTAACCTTTGAAGTCAAGCTGATTTTTTTTTAATAGAAAATAATGGGAACTTTGCTTAATAATGTTTTAAATATGTACATAGGGTAACCTTAATAAAAAAAAAAAACTATAGAATGAAGTCTTCTGTAATAAATTTCTTGTTAACATAGAGATCAGTTGGAAAACTTGTTACTTAACATGCCATTAAATGGATTGGGAAGATAGCTCAGTTGGTAAAATGTTGTATAGGCATGAGGACCTGAGTTTGATCTCCAGAACCCATGTAAAATAAGCTGCGTGTGTTGGTATGCCTTTGTAATCTCAGAACTAGAGAAGGCAGAGACAGGCAGATTCCTGGGGTTTGCTGGCCTCCTTGATAAACTCCAGGCCAGTGAGAGATCCTGTCTCAAAAAATAAGGTAGAGAGCTCTGGAGAAACAGCACCCAAAGTTGTCCCACATGCACATGTACACACCTTTTTCATGTATAATCCCACACAGTAACATACACACACACACACAAAAGCCATTTTTTAAAAAGATTTCAAGGCAGTACGGTGACAACTGCCCCAAATCCCAGGACCAAAGAGGCTAAAACAGGAGGACTACAACTTCAGGGCCAACCCAGGCTTTATGATTCACCTTCATCTTAAAGACCAAACAACTCAGCTGAATCTGTTTCCTTAACTCCATTCTCCCTAGATGAGACTGACAGTGCAGTCTGAGAAATGGAAATTTCTGTTGTTACGTTGCCTTTAGCTTTTCTAAAAATGAAAAAAGTTGCAATAAGTTTTTCCTATCACAAAACAGTTTGGGCTTTTTTTTAAAGCATGTTTTCAGGGGATAATGCAGACATTTTTAGGCCTGTCCTGTGGAGAATGATGTGCATTTTCACTTAAGTGACCCCCCTCCCACCGCCATATAGTTTAAAGTTCACTCTGGAAAGAATAAATATTTTGACTTCAAGTAATTTGGAGTTGAAGTTTTTCTCCTTAGGTTTTATTATGGGGGAGGGGGTGATAGTAAATAGATTGTTTCTTTGGTGGCTGAAAAACATGATACACATCAGTGATGCTTGGTTCAAACAAAACACTTCTGTGTTATTAAGGTGTTTGGAACCATTTTCCCAAAAGCACGCAGAGGCAGAGTCAGGCAGATCTCTGAGTTCAAGGCCAGCCTGGTCTACATACTGAGTTCCAGGCCAGCTGGGGCTACAGGGCTACAGAGAGACCCTGTCTCAAAAAGACCAAAAAAAAAAAAAAAAATACTAAGTTCCTTTATCTGGGTGCTTGATCCAATTAAATTTATATAACTGTCAAAAATATGCAAACTGCATAACTACACTTACAAATATTAACTCTTATTTAGTAACTAACTGAAATATGCTGCAAATATGTCGTGTCTTTTAAACATTTTCATTTTTTGAGATAGGGCCTCGTGCTAGCCCTTGAGCTCCCTATGCTCCTGCTGCTACTTCCAAGTGCTGGAGGTATATGCATGAGCCACCATACCTGGCTTCTTTAAAGTGCTTTTAGAATTTTTACTTTTCGCACATAGAAGCATGTTATAGAACTCAAGAATTTGCAAGGTGTCTGCAGCAGTACATTAACCATGAGCAGATCACCTTCCCATACTAGTTACGAGAATTTCATTTTAATTGCTGTTATCCTTAAAAGGTATTTGAAAGGTTGTTTTTAAAACCTAGAGGGAGGTACAAGGTATAACTTATTACTAGATGTTATTTGTGTGTGTTGAATTTCGTGGTAAATTTAAAGGAAAATACTTTCAGGAGAATACTCAGCAGGGTGCTGTTGGCTTTTTCCCTTTTGGTATTTTCTGATTTTTGCCCCCAAGTTCAGTGAAAGTCCAGTATTCTTAAATGATCAGATAAACTTGAAACTTTGTTTCTCTTCCAGATAAAGCTTCACCAAGAAGGCTGCCTAGGAAACGGGCACAGAAGAGATCAGTGGGATCTGATGAGTAAATGTTCCTTTGTGCAACAATTCAGTCTGTGCTTACCCTGCCCTAATGTTTTTTTGGCCTGATGGGAATTAGTGCAGAGAAGCCATATCATCATAGAAGGCAACTACTATTGTGTGTGGACTGAGCAATCAGAGTCTGTGGCGATAATATTGCTGAAAATGCACTGCATTTGTTTTTCTAAAGTGACAAATTTGGGTTTTTTTTTAAACCATTAAACTGTGTGTGCGTGTGTGTGTGTGTCTGTGAGCAGTTGTCTTACCAGAATCATTGTTGAACTACCTGAAACAGGCCTTTAGAATACTCAGCAGGGTGCTGTTGGCTTTTTCCCTTTTGGTATTTTCTGATTTTTGCCCCCAAGTTCAAGGAACATTTGTCCCCAGTATGATTTGAGGCATTCTGCCATGAACTGTTTTAAGGGGATAGTTTGCTTATTCCTTGGAATTGACCAAATCCAAACTGATGGCACAAATTAGCCTTTTGTTCTCCATTACAACTTGTATTCTAAAGGCTCAGGCAGGAGTAGCTGCTTCCTTAGCAATAGATGGACACATTTTGGTATTTTGTTGCTGTTTACTATCATGCACATTTTTAGAAAACTTAACCAAATAGATTTAAGGAATTCTGATCTTTAGCAACAAAATTGTGAAACATGAAAATTCTGTGAACTTTGGTATATAAATCCTAACCCTATGCCTTTTTTTAAACAGAAAATAGTACACTTGTGCAAACTGAGTTGTTATGTTGTCCCAGGGAGCGCTCTGGAACAATTTCATTTCTGTTTTGTTTTTTTGTTTGGTTTAAGGAGAGAATTTTGTTAATAGACATTTCTTTCTATTTTAGGGGGTTGGGGGGTTGAGACAGGGTCTACCTGTAGCCCCGGATTGACTGGAACTTGCTATGTAGACCATGCTGACCCTGATCTCTGTCTGCCTCTGCCTCTCAAGTGCTGGGATTAAAGGTATGTGCCACCATGCCTGGCCAGAAATATCCTAAGAAAAATTCTCCTGGTCTACAGATGAAGCAGATCGAATTTTAGGGGCAGGAATACATTCCAACTAACCCTAATCTACAAGAAGATTAATTGGAAAATTTTAAACAGTCATACAGTTTTTCTTTTAACTTTATCTTTTTTGAGGGTGTTGGTTATTGGCCTACTTTTTGGCTTTAGTTAATGTGAAAAATTCCAAAAACTTGGTGCACTTGAGATTTCAGGACCAAAATTAAGTTGGATTTGATGAAATCTTATTAGTTACTATTGCCCAAAGTAGTAAAATAAGTCTGGCACTATTGTCAGGCTTGATTAAAAGGAAAGTAAAAAGGAGTGTGAATAGACAGGCTTTTCTCTGCCTTTAAGCCATACCCCACACATGAGCATTATGTGTACGTGGTAGATCTCAGTGGCTCTCTCATTCCTGACCTCTCTTCATTCTTCTTTGGTCCAGTCCCTTCCACACACACATAGAAAGGAAAGCAACAAAATATGGAAACAAAAGCTTGCAGACTGTTGAACATGTGCACCAAAACCAGTAATGTTAGAAGTTGTATAATTGTTAATCACTTTGCAAATAGGGGCTGAAATGTCAAATTGCCTATATTTGCATTGCTGGCTTATAAACTTTCTATACCTGTAATATAGTGTGTGGGTTTTTAATTGAGCTGTATAAACAGTATTTTATTTTTAAAAAATTTTGTGAAGTCTGAGGAACTGCACAATTTTGGCTTAATGTAACAAGACCCTTCTCATTCTCAAAAAACATTTTTCCAAAACCTTTTTGTGACCATCTTAAGTTCATTAAACTACTAGAACATAATTACAGTAAGATGTAATTACAAAGTATAAATGGACTGTAGAGAGTTTATTGAATCCCTGGTAAAGTGTGGGCAGTTGCAAAAAGCACAGTGAGTTACAGCTGCCAGCCCTTCTCTCCCCAGAGTAATTTGCCTTACGTAGCAACTCTTTCATTTCTGAGGTTCAAATTAATGCCTCAGAAGTATAGACTGTATTGTTTTTTTTAGTATAGATTGGGAACAGTTGAAAACTCAGATCTTCAGATGCCAGAGTCTACTATAGCATCACTAAGTATTTAGCAGAAACTAACTCCATAATGAATGGAATTCAATTCCACACATGGTTTGTTCAAGCACACTTAATAAGTAGTCTGTTTTTAAATGTCTTTTTTAAATGTAAATACTTGGATGAAGTTTTCCTTTGTTTTAATATAGTCATTTGCAACATCAACCACGGCTTCAGAATTCACCTTTGAACAAGTTGGTTTCGGAATCTGTAAAATGGAACTTAACAATCATGTGTATTGAGCCTGTCACCCTAGGAATAATGTGTCATAAAGCATGGATCTCACTTTGGTTGTATAGCTTCATCATTCTGTTCGTGTTTTAGCTAGTAAGGGACTCTGGGGACTGATACTGCCCTCCAAAACTTTGCCTGAGGAGTTTGGAAAAGGGAAGTGGGGCTGAGTGTAAGAGCCTAAGGGGAGAAATGAAGTAGAAATGAAGGAAAGTAGTGTGGACATCAGAAAGCAGAACTGGGATAGGTGGAGAAGGCACGTCTGCTCTCACGGGGCTGCTGCCTGTTCATCAACCTGGAGTTCTGTTTTTCTTAGTTGAAGAGAAGTGTCAGTAATGTAGCCTTGAAACTTTCCTTTAATGACGGTGTTTTGGAGGTACAGTAGATGCATGTAAGTACACACGGGGACATACAATGTTCATCTCCTGTAGGACAGGGATATCCTGTCCAGGGTATGGACCCTTGGTATAAAGGAAAATCTACTTGGTTAGTACATTTGAATCATGAATTTTTTATGTGCTTTTAGATGCGGGGGTGGGAAGGGGCCCTTAATATTGCTCAGGATGGTCCTGAATTCCTAGGGCCTGACATAAAATAATTTTGATCTAACTGAGCACAATATATATCCTCTCATCAATATGTTGATAGACTAGACCCAAAATCAGGTGTTTAAGAATATATTTCAATAGACTTCTTCCACATTGTTGGATGGCATTTACAGCTATAGAACTAATCAGTAAAATTGGATCTTTTCTTAAATAAAACCTTCAGCCTAGTGAAGAGCAACCTAATGTACACTTTGTGCTCTCCATGTATATAAGTGTGACGTCAGGTTTCATGGCTCTGCTAATTTGTATCTATGAGAACATCAGCTTGCAGAACACATAGAACGGCATTTACCAATTGACTGGCAGGTATCTGAATAATCATTTCCGCAGGGCTTATATTAATTTTATTAATATTAGTGTGTTTTAGCCCTTTTCATTTACACAAAATCTAGACTTACAGCTGGGCGTGGTGGCACACTGCTTTACTCCCAGCACTTGGGAGGCAGAGGCAGGTGGATCTCTGAGTTCGAGGCCCACCTGGTCTACATAGCGAGTTCCAGGTCAGCTGGGGCTACAGGGAGACCCTGTCTCAAAAAGACCAAACAAACAAACAAAAAAATCTAGACTTACATTGTAATTTTATTATTTGAAATTCTGGGTTTTTTCTTTTGTAGATTTTAGAATTATTTAGGAGTACAGCTCGAAACCCTGGTATTCTTTCCTTGTACTGCATGCAACATGGAAATTTTATAAAATCAAGCAGTTGGATAGCTTATAAATACTTATTTTCCAGAATCCAGCCACTCGGAAGTTGAAATAACCTCAGCACTGAATATGCAGTGTGCACTTGCAGTACTGTGTGTGTGCTGTACACGCTTGTTGCTTGCTCCCAGGCACTGCAGAAACTTGTCTGTACTATTGTAAGCTGATTTGTTTATGGCATGAACTTGATAATTCATTTTTCTAATATAGTTAGTCACAGTACCCCCATTTAATTAATAGCCATTAAATGACGCACTTCTTTATGTGTCTCTCTGATAAACAGTCATGTTCTTAAAAAATATATCATGGGGGCTAGAGAGAGCAGTTAAGAACACTGTTCTTTCAGAAGACCCGGGTTGAAATCCCAGCACCACATGGCAGCTAACAACTGTCCGTAACTCTTCTGTCCTTGATGGGCATTCATTGCACAACAAGGGAACATTTACCTACATGCAGGCAATACACACACATAAAAATAATTAAAATTGTTTTATATATATAGATGTATGGAATAAAGGACATGTGATAGAATATAGCAAAATGCTGACTGTCAGGCTCTTGAGATTGGGGCCACTGGCTACATAGCCAGACACTGTCTCAAAAATTGGATTGTTTTTAGCTGAAACATCCATGTTCATGTTGGAGATGACTGTGAAGTATCTGTGTTATATAGGCAGGTAGTTACAAGTCTCTGGTTGCAAGTTGAGACATTTTCTGATCTAGTTTCTGTTCACTTTGGATTTTCTTTAGGCACAGTGAGACATTACTAAGAAAATCCAGTTTATTTGGAAAGCACAAAGGATAGCTCTTGTTTAGAGTCTCCTAGTCACAAAGATAATTTGTGCTGTGTTTTGTTCCTTTGCTTTCCCTTCCACAGACTTCTGTAGGTGCCTGTGACAGCACATCATCTTGTTGGCATCTCTGCTGTACTATGAGCCCTGTGTCTTGTTTACATGCAGCTTCTAGCTGATGTAGGTAGAAGCCTGTTGCTGTTTAAAGAAGCAAGGACTGGGAACATAGTTCAGTTGGCAGACTACCTGCCTTGTAAGCATGAAAGCATGAGGAGCCAAGTTTGATCTCCAGAACCCATGTGAAAATGCCAGGCGTGGTGGCATGCTTCTTCAGTCTCAGCCCTGGGGAAGTGGAAACAGGAAGATCCTTGGGGCTTGCTGGCCAGCCAGTCTAGCTCTATTAGTGAGCTCCAGGCCACTGAAGATCCTGTCCCAAAGTGTTGAAGCAGGCTGGATTCCTGAGGATGACATCCAGTGCTGTCCTCTGGCCTACACACGCACAAAAAGGAAAATGCAGGCAGGCCTGTTTTCACTTAGCATTCTGTCATGTGACTGGTATGGTTCATAAATGCTCTGATAGTAACTTCCTAT